TAGAATTGGTTTTGGTTTTGGCAGTCTCTTAAATATGACAGAGGAGGTTTAATACTATGCCCAACCCTACAATGGTTTTGGGATGGTCTGGTGCATCTGGTGAAATACCAGATCTGTGTTCCGGCTGGTGCCTGTGAGGGACAAACTCTGCGGAGGCTGTCCAGCGATTCCTCTGGAAGCAGCCCCAGGTGCTGCAGGTAAACCCCACTGCTCTCCTGCCTCCCATCTCACCTGGGGCACTCATCACTGCCTCCAGCCTCTGGGAGGGGTTGGTTTGGTCACTCCTGGTGGGTTCATCTGTGCTGACAGATGCAGGTGAAAACCAGACCTGATGCTCAGCTCCAGCTCCCTTGGTACTGTCAGCTGGGAGGGGAGCGTTCTTCTGTACTAATGGAGTGAGTGTCCCGTCCCCCCCCCCGCTCCTCTCCTGCCACTGCGGGACGGCTGTGGCAGGGCTTCCTCCCTTCCAGGCCATGAAAATAACCAAGTAATGTGCGGAGATGCCCACACACAAAGCTCAGAGAATCTCCTACATTGCTTGGTGTGGTGGGTTGACCCTGGCTGGACGTCAGGTGCCCACCAAAGCTGCTTTGTCTCTCCCCCCTCCTCAGCTGGGCAGGAGAGAGAAATTATAACGAAAGGATCGTGGGTTGAGATAAGGACAGGGAGATCATGCAGCAATTACTGTCACGGGCAAATCAGAATCGACTCAGGCAAATTAATTTAGTTTATTACTGATCAAATCAGAGAAGGGTAATGAGAAATAAAACCAAACCTTAAAACACCTTCCCCCCACACCTCCCTCCTTCCCAGGCTCAGCTTCACTCCCAAATTCTCTACCTCCTCCCCCCAAAACATGCAGGGCGATGGGGAATGGGGATTGCGGTCTCTTCATCACATGTTGTCTCTGCTACTCCTTCCTTCTCACACTCCTCCCCTGCTCCAGAGTGGGGCCCCTCCCACAGGAGACAGTCCTCCTCGAACTTCTCCAACGTGAGTCCTTTCCATGGGCTGCAGTTCTTCACAAACTGCCCCAGTGTGGGTCCCTTCCACGGGGTGCAGTCCTTCAGGAACAGATTGCTCTAGCATGGGCCACCCATGGGGTCACAAGTCCTGCCAGCAAACCTGCTCCAGTATGGGCTCCTCTCCATGGCGTCACAGGTCCTGCCAGGAGCCTGCTCCAGCATGGGATTCCCATGGGGTCACAGCCTCCTTCAGGCATCCATCTGCTCCAGTGTGGGGTCCTCCACAGGCTGCAGGTGGATATCTGCTCCACCATTAACCTCTGTGGGCTGCAGGGCAACAGCCCACCTCACCATTGTCTTCACCATGGGCTGCAAGGGGAATCTCTGCTCCAGCGCCTGGGGCACCTTCTTCTCCTCCTTCTTCACTGATCTTGGTGCCTGTGGACTTGTTTGTCTCATATTCTCACTCATCTCCTCCAGCTGCTGTGTCACACCAGCTTTTTCCCCTTCTTAAATACGTTATCACACAGACGCTACCACTGTTGCTGATGGGCTCAGCCTTGGCCAGCAGTAGGTCTCTCTTGGAGCTGGCTGGCATTGGGTCTGTCAGACATGGGGGAAACTTCTAGCAGCTTCTCACAGAGGCCACCCTGTAGCCCCCTGCTACCAAAACCTTGCCATGCAAATGCAATACACTTGAAGCTCGAGGGCTGGCAATTGTTGGCTTTAGTGGTGCACTGTATTTTTGCAATGATACTTATCTAGAGCACCCTTTCCACTCCTTCATTTCATCACAAGCTTCCCAACTTGCACGATACATGATGTGGAGGCTGTCTGCCTTGCCAAGCAAATGGTACGTGCTATGTCCCATAGCTCACCAGCAGCCAGGAGAATGGTCCTTGACAAGTCGCTTGGAGACTGAGGCTGGAGACTTGCTTCTTAGTGCCACCAGTCTGTCTTCTGATGGGCTGACTTGATTCTACTGTGGGCCCTTACATCTGTTTGCATTTGAGACTTTCTTGGTCTCATCTCAGAGACAGTGTGTTTTAGGCTTGAGACAGCTTACCTCAGAGCCTACCAAGTCTGGCTTCTTTTTCATAAAAATGTGACTGAATTAGGCAAGAATTAGTCTTTGAAAAGCATGAAATGCAACCTGGAAACTAAGCCATGGTCAAGAGTTCACTCCTCTGTCCCTTCTCTGTGATATGGAAGAATATCTGCTCTGACAAAGTGTTCAGAAGGACCGGGAGTCTTCCCAGGCATCTGCAAAGACACTGGAGTGTGAGCATCCAGCATGAAACACAAATACAAATCTTAGAAAACCTTGGTGAAAAGGTGTATTAGTTGTTCACTGACATTTTTACTGAATTGAATCCTAAGTCGTCTATCCAAACACTGGCTTTGATTGAAGGGGGAATATTATTAGCCTGATACTGATTTTGAGCTGTGTAATTGAGACTGTATTTGAATTACATAATAATTTTATCGTTGCTATGACATAGCGTAGGAGGTGCAATTACGGCACCATGTATCAATAGATCCGCTGAAAAGGCCTCCGCTCCATTAGATTTATTCTGAATGTCTAATCTTAAGTGCTATTCTCCAACTTCATTGTAACTTGTTTAAGACAAAAAATCAAAGAAATACAGAGTGGGACACTTCCACTGAAAATGGATGTTGCTGCACAGGCTGCAGGTGAGCACAAGGCATCCTAGCTTGCTTTCAAACACTTGGCGTTTGTTTATGTTTTGATGGTAGGATTTCATGCCGTGTCTTCTGGGGAGGACTGCAGAATTAACCTTTCAGAAAGAGCCTGTTGCCAGAGGCGGAGGTTGTTTCAGGTTCATCCACCAACTTACAGCAGCGAAAGTTGCCAGGTTATGATTCCCTTTTATCCACGTGCTGACTGTGCTTTGGAGGGTGGTACAGCTGATCAAGCTGATCAAATCCCCAAGAAGTGTGCCTGGGAGGCAGAGAAAAGAGAGATCCACCACCTACGTGCATCAGAAGGGGTCAAAGTGAACATCAGGTTGGTGGGAACTGTGCTGGCATCCTGGGGAGGCAGTTGAGCTCTGGTGTTCACTCAGCAGGTGGTAAGTCCATATTGGAGTTGGACCTTGTGTGTTCACTGTAGCACAGGGCCTTCATCACGTTGAGGAGATGTTTCAGGGTGACCCTTGGGATTTATATGATGATGATTTTGCCTCGGGCAAGGAGCACTCCTCTCTTCAAAACTGTTAATCCTTGACAGATTCAAGCAATGAGGTCCCATTGATTTGTGGCAAGTTCCCGTGTGCCTCCTTTGTGTTTTCCACAAGAAGATAAAGAGGAAGAGATGGGAATGAATACAGCATGTTTTCTGTCAGCTGTCATTGGGATTACTTATGTAGAGTGGTGTGAAGTTTGAGTTACGGAGAGCATATTCACTGTTGTCCCCAAATTCCAGGTGTCCCTCCTGAAAGTACTGGCAGTACTCCCATACACTGTCTTGCCTTGGCATGGGAGAAGATGGATGTGTTGATCGGAGAAGCTGTCTGTGGGACCCTTTACATCTTCCAAACCAGGCAAAATCCCTGCCCTGAAAAACTCCATTTTCAATAACTTATCTTGAGCTAAACCCGTAGGGACTGACATAAAAAATTGTGAAGTCCTCTGTGATGGAGCTGTCCTTGGAGACTGTTACAGCTTGCTATTTGTCCGTTCAGATGGACATCTCTTGGGAAAAGAGATCTCCGCAGTTGTTTTTAAGGCTGAAACTCAGGATGGGGATAAACAATGGTTCACCAAGTTGTGAACTTTGTGAAAGATTCATGTATTATCTGGGGTGGTGGGGTGGTGGAAGGTCTCTGAAGGATCTGGAGAATGTTTGGCCAGGAGAGGAGTGGTGAGGTGGTCGTGCTTTCATAGCAGAGGACAGGAGTAGGCTCAGCCACTAGGAAGAAACATTTCAGAAGAGACAGAGGAGATGTGTACTGGAGCTGGTCCCACAGGAAGAGGAGATTGTGAGATCACTGAGGAGACTTAGGTAGAAGAATGTATATTGGTACCTAGTTGTTTTGTCTAGGTCTGCATTTTGTGTTCTGGCTAAATCACAGAAACACAGAATGGTAGGGGTTGGAAGTGACCTTCAGAGATCATCTAGTCCAACCCCCCTGCCAAAGCAGGTTCACCTACAGCAGGTTGGACAGGAACGCATCCAGACAGGTTTTGAATATCTCCAGAGAAGGAGACTCCCCAGCCTCTCTGGGCAGCCTGTTCCAGTGCTCTGCCACCCTCAAAGTAAAGAAGTTTTCTGTCATGGTGAGATGGAACTTCCTGTGTTCCAGTTTGTGGCTGTTGCCCCTTGTGCTGTCGTTGGGCACCACTGAAGAGAGCCTGTCCCCATCCTCTTGACACCTGCCCTTTAGATATTCAACAGCATTGATGAGATCCCCTCTTAGTCTTCTCTTCTCCAGGCGAGACAGCCCCAGGTCTCTCAGCCTTTCCTCATATGAGACGTGCTCCACTCCCTTGATCATCTTTGTAGCTCTCCGCTGGAGTCTCTCCAGTAGTTCTTTGCCTTTGTTGAACCGGGGAGCCCAGAACTGCGCACAGTACTCCAGATGTGGCCTCACCAGGGCAGAGTAGAGGGGGACGATGACCTCCCTCGACCTGCTGGCAATACCAATAGCGGTTGATTTGTGTTGTGATTTAAACCCAGCCAGCAACTAGGACCATGCAGCTGCTTGAACACTCCTCCGTCCCCCTCCTCCCAAGTAGGGTAGGGAGAAGAGTGAGAAAAGTAGGGGGGGGAAAACAAAAAAAACCCAACCCCAAACTCATAGGTTGAGATAAAGACAGTTTAATAGAACAGTAATGGAAGAGGAAAATAATGACAACAACAACAACAATAATAATAATGGTAAAAGGATATACAAGATAAACTAATACAACACAAGTTGCTCTCACCACCTAATGATTGGTTGCCCATCCCATTGCAAGCAGTGATCACGGATTCCTGCCTTCTGGCCAACTCCCATTTATATATTGAGCACGATGTCTATGGTATGATGGAGATGGATTTGTAGGTCTGTACAGCTTGGGTATAGCGTGCAGCTGGGGGCACAGTAGGCCCCTGTGAAACCTCACCAGATGGAGAGGGAGAGGAAGCACTCTGTGGGCACAGTGAGTCATGGTGATCTTTATTTTCAGGTTAGAGAGGGTATCTCTCTCCTTGATGTTATTGCCTTCAGGATATTGTGAAGAAACTCATGTTGTGATCATATGTGGGGATGCCTTTTAGGGGCACCCCACACACTGCACCTCCTGCTGCCTCATCCTGCCAAAGTATGAGGCTTTTTAGCTACCTTCACAGTCACTTTTTTTCTGCTTGCAGCGCTTAGTTTTAAAGGAATTAAAGATCTGTGTGTACACCTTGAGCCTTGCTGTCCATAAGTCCTCCTGGGTGAAATGCCTTTATGTTATCCAAGGATCAGTTAAGCTATGTTACTCAGTTTGGTTCAAAACCTCCTGTAATGATCTCCTTTAATTAACTCCAGTATGGAGGTCTGGTAACAATAGGAGGGATTGTGCTTGGACACTGAGATCCTGATACTGCTGACATTGGATTCAGTGGACAATTTGTTTTATCTTGTTTAACTCCCTGTGGCCTAGAGGGAAGGGTGGCGCGTCAAAGACGAGACTTGGAAACAAGGTTCTGTGCTTTGCTTGTGACCCAGAGTGGAGTCTCTGAAAGCGCAGTCCCAAGTGCACCAAGCTGAGGGAGGAACTTCCCTTGATCAGTTCGGGCTTTGAAGCAGATGTGTGAGGGTGAGATCTGCAGATAGCTCAGCTGCACGCTCAACTCTTGTTGACTTCTATACAGCAGGAGCAGATGCTGCACCTTTCTGCTGAAGTGGGGCTTTGAACTTTCTGTGCTTGTTTCCCTGTGTTGTAAGAGCAGAAGAATACTTGTCTTTTGCCAAGGGATATCGGCCAGGTATCAGATAACCCACCATCTGGGAAAGCTTGCTGGAATATTTTGGTTATTTCTTAACATGGTGCTAAACAAAACTTGTGATTATGTGCCTCACTGAAAATAGGAAGTAATTCCAATCCAATCCATGCAGCTGGCTAGGAATACTCAAAATGAAATGATCATTTTTGCATTCATCATGCAAAAACCCAAGGTGTTACATGGCATGTTGATTTGATAATGGGACAAAACATGATAAAGCCTGTATTTTGTTTCTGAATGCTGGCATATTCTTTTCCTTACTCCTTATTGCAGGGGGTAACTAGAAATTGAATTAAAGTTCAGCTAACTTTTCTTTTTTGTTTCTTTGGACCTCGTACTTATTATTCTTTGCCCATTTCAGTCGCACCGGTATTATTAGGAAAATGCAGAGAAAGTGATGCCCTGTGTTCTTGCGCACAGAAGTAACTCTGTTTTGCAATGTGTGTTGGCAGTGTTCGTACATCCCTCCCTGTGCGAGAGATGATCAGGAGAACTCTGAGAATGTCACGTACAAGCAGAAATACTGGAAAGAGAAAGTGGGTTCGCAACCATTTACATGCTATTTTAACCAGCACTTGAGGTAAGTAATCTACATTTGCATAGGCAGAAGTGCTTATGCATCTGTTTAACAGCTGTCCATTGGTTCTGTTTGAAAATATATAGAAGTGCATGCATATATATACACACACACCCCCATATAGCGATGTGGTTTGTCACACAGAGTTTAGTGCAGAATTTTGCAAGATAACTCTATTGATGAAAAGCAACGTAGAAAGCAAAGTGTTTTTACCGCTTGAAGTAAAAATATAAAACTCCTTTTCCCTTAAAACATGCCATTTTATGGCAAAAAAACATCTTGGCTTTTAATGCTTAGATGTAAAATTTCTGGCTTGGATACTAATGTTCCTTCCCTCCATGGAAGAGAAATCCTACTGTGTTGATGAGGGGTTGGAGGAAATGAGGAGATCAGTAAATAGTACAAATCAACTCAGGAATTGTGTTCATGGAGGATTAGTGAATCAGGTATGAGTAATAAACATTCACAGAACTGCCCGTTTTCATAGATGCTTGCAGAGTAGAGTTGTAACTTAAAGCATCTCCTCCACTGTTTCAATTCTTACTTTTACTACCAATGTTGATGTGACTTACGTGTATATAAGGGTGACGTGTGGTTTCCTCCCTTCAGATCTACTGATTTCCCATTTACAGATTTCCCATTTAGGGAAGAGGAGGGAGTCCTTTTGCCTGTCTCTTTCTGATGATGATGTGCCAGGAAACAAAAGGTGATGTGGCAGCAGCAACTTACTGCTGCTCTGCCTCTCTGGGAGGACTTGGGAGAACAGCAGTGATTGGGATGATGGGTTCATGTAGAGAAGGAGGTGGGAAGAGAATATTTAAGATCTCCAGATCAGCCAAGGTTTTATGGGATTTAGACTCCAGTTCTGGAGGCACATGGCACTTGCTTAATTTGATCAGCACAAGTAATTTTGGTAGAGCTAAGGAGCTGCTCTTGGTTGCTAAGTTAAGCACTCAAATAAATGTCTGCCACATCAGGGACTAAAGGAGGAGGTTGGTCCTACCCCCCACCAGCACTTGGAAGTTGAACAGATGAGGAAGACCTAGGTGGGAATAGCTTGGTGCCTGCTGGTGCAATTCAGGCCTCCGTGTAGGAGTGCTGGCATCAGATATTTAAGTTTATTAAGACACACAGGAGGAAAATGGATGCCAGTGTATGCTAGGACCTTGGAGGAACTGGGTAGCAGGAGCAGGGTGGCAGGCAGAGAGATATTCAACTCTTCTGTCAGTGGCTGACTGGGTGCCTTGGGGGCTTCAGGTTTGTCCTAGGCTGGCTATGATTGTTGTCCCCTCCCTGGAGAGACCATAGACCTGGTCGATGTGCCCAGGATGATAGTCTGTTGTCCCTGGTTAACTCTTTGCAGAGGGAAACCACCAATGCTTTGTAACAAAACCTAGCTTCTTACCGTGGTGAAAGAAGCACTGTCTACAGCGTGCAGAGGCTAAAACTTAGGGTACCAGGGGCAGTGTGATGATTTTTGCTTCTCTGGGCAGGCAGGTGCTGCCAGTTCCCCATGCTGCTGAGACCTGGGACCTCCAGCAGCCCCTGCCTGAGTGAGCAGGATAGTCAGAAATATGGGATCTTCTGCAGGAGATGTCATGGCTGGGATTCGTCTGAGCTGGTGTGGACTGATCGGGTGCAGGCACCTCGGTGGTAGGTGTCCAGAGCTAGGTGAGCTGGGTATCATGTCACATTTCTAGGTGAAACGAAGGCATAATTTTCTGAGGCTGCACACTGCCTAGGGTCTGCCAGTTATGTAGGTTGACGCTGAAGAATTTTGCGGCACTCAGGCAAGATTTCTTCCTTATAGTTGCAGCATCCCATACTGTTAGATGTTCTTGCCAAGTGCAACGGCTGCCTTTTGCTGATCATACAACAATTTATATATAGCAGAAGAGAGGCTCGCTGCCAGAGATACTTGAAGACAGCCTAAGCTGTAATGTGTATCCCATCTATTTTCTTCTGGAGATAAGAATCAGTTTTGAGAGATGTGTTGCTGACTAGGAATGTGCTTGCTTAGGTATACTTTTAGAGTTACGATGACTAAACAGCTTGTGAAGCAGTAAAAAGCCATACAAACTGAGGAAAACATCTGTTCACTTCAAAACAGAAGTGGGCATATTTTATCAGTATTTCTTTAACTTTGTGGATGAGCTAACTCATCTGTGTCAGTCTGTATAAAACATAGAATATAGTGGTAGGTTCCTCAGGGAAAGTGGTATTTACAATATTAATACTCTCTCTTTTGAAATGACAGAATAAAATTCTAGGTATATATCTAAGCAATGAATGAACATTGTCTCCTCTTCATCAAACTTAATTTAGTGTCATTCTCAGAGTTGTTGCTTCATGCCAAGCACACTGTTAGGTGACACCTCTCTTCAGTTTGGCGGGGCACATTTCAACAGGCTGCTTTGAAAAGAAGAAGAAAGTGGTGCCATTTGTACAGTTCAAAGTTATACGAAATGGGTGAGAAGCAGACTTGGCAATTTCAAACATTCTCTGTTAATATAAATGGAGAGGCCCAGCACAACTACCTGTCTGACATTTATCTTAGGGAACCAATGCGCAGCTTCGCTTGGAGCTCAGCACTTTACTGAAAAACGAGGTTTTGCTTTTCCATGGTAGACACTTACCGTTAAGTGTCCCACTCTTCTCTGGCAAGCTTTGCAAGGCCAAGCGATGCAAGCTGCGTGGGAAAGTTGCTTTTCCAGACCTCTGGTGGAGGTACCTGCCTGCTGGCGTGATGATACTCTCCCTGGTCTGTAGGGAGCCCTGCCCAGCAGAAACCAATCCCCAGTGTTTCAGAGCACAAAATAAACAACAAATTCAGATAAAGTTCTCGGGCTGTTGCCAAAGGTTTGAGAAGGCGCTGAGCTCTAGTGCTTCAGTGTGCACGGATCTCACATCGGGTGTCCCAGGGGGTCTGTAGTCACGAACACGTTCCAGGTCTCACTGACATCAACAACAAGAGCAAAAAGAGAGAAACCAAGATCTCCATCAGCTCAGACCCCTCAGTCTCATGCCGTGCAGAGATAGGTAGAGCAACATATGTTCTTATTAGTGACTCATTTATGTGGCATTGTTGCTTTTTAGCTCTGGGTTCGTCCAGTGTGGCAAGAACGCTCAGTGGTTCCTTTGCCACAACGCAGCAGATGAGCCAGCCGTGCTTTATACTTCTCTGTGTTTGCTGCAGGATGCCGTACACAAATTCACCTGAGATTTGGAGACCAAACACTCTCTAGTGATTAGCGACCACCCGTACGGTGTTGGGGTACCCTGCAGGCCATTTATTTGGGAATAATTACCTGCAGAAGCCAAGGGTGCTCAGGTAATAGTGCTGCTCATTCATGGATGGTGGAACAGCAATTTTGGTTTTGCTCTGGTACTTCACAAAGTTTTCTAGATTAATTCCCTCCAGTCAGAAAATGGTGTTGCTATTTCGTATCCTTTCTCGTAGGATAGCACTGTCCCTGCGTGCAGCCGTCCGGCTGAGGATCTCTGTGTCTTACAACAATAGGGGAAAAAACCTACTGATGAGTGCTTGTCATAGCGAAGGGATGTGAATAATTGTGGGGAAAATAAGTGTATGCAGATTGCAAACATCTTGAAATCCAGATACTTTTTTAATATAAAAAATATTTGTAAGGTTTCCCTATCCCGTGCCCTTGCCTCCACCAGCTTTCACTGTGTCACATAAATTGCACAGTGATGAGTGAAATGTTTATGTGCCTGTAACTTTTTGGTCCTCCATGACTTTTTCGTAAACCTTGTGCTGCAGTTCTTCCCATGACGTTCAGTAATTGCACCGAAGGCTGTGACGGAGGCCTGCTTTATCCAGTGTCTCTTTGAACTGCTTGGCAGCGCCTAACAGGGATGTGTTGTGTAATGCAACAACTAATCCAGTTACCCCTGGTCAGAGCCCCACAAGGCTGCAGCCCTGAGCAAAAAGTCCTGCTAAAAATAAGTAGTGGTTTCACCTTTTAGCAATGAAAACAAAATTGCTCCCTCCTTGCCTGTTCAGCGAAAGGGAAAAGTGTGTGTTCAGAATTAAGACAGAGACTTCTTTACGGTTTCTTTTTAGTTTGTTCATTTTTCTTTCACCCTGGGGCTGCTGCTGGGCAGTGGTGGTGGTGCTGCACAGTGGCCATCCCAGTTAGCAGCAGAACCAGGTCCCAATACCTGACCAGGGCTTGAAAGTATTCAGGTTTTTTTTCCCTCTTTTGTCCCGCTATGTCTCTCTCTTGCCCCTGCTGCTGTTTTGTGCACCAATAACTGGTGTTAGGAGTTTGGGTGCATCCCCTCGAGAGGCTTTGCGTTTACTGGAGAGCTGAATGGCAGCAACGCTAGAGACAAGAGATGGTCCATAACCGAACTTAGGGGTGATATGTGCAACCCCTCTGGTCAATGTCTTTGAACTGAAGTATTATATGGAAGTCATAGAGCAAAGATCAGTTTATTAAATGCACCATTCTTGCAGGGACAAGACAATATCTTTAATTATATCTGCTGATTTTCACAAGGAAAAGAAACACCTTTCCAGGCATGGCATAAGTCCTTTGAGTTTGGCATTGCTGACTCAGCACCAGGGGAGTGATGCTGTGGGGCCTTCCAGCAAAGCTGTGTCCCTGTCATGAGAGGGTTTTCTCCAGGGATGGGGGCACCTTCCCTTTTCTGTTTCCAAACCAAACAACAAGCCTTCAGACTCTGGGAATAGGCAGGTCACCTCTACAAAAGTAGCAAGAAAAAGTCAAAACTGCAGTTTGGACACATACTGACCTTGCCATGCAAAACCAAGAGAGTTATGTTTCAAGTGTCCTGATAGCTATTTGTTTCTCTTCCCAAGGAGAGGGATGGTTTGATGAAGAAGTACAGCCCTCTTCTTTTTGCTGCTTGCCTGTTGCAAGCATCTCTCTCCCTTCCCTCTGCCACCATGCCCTTGTTTTCTCTGCCCAGCCCTGCCAGCCTCTTCTGCTGCTCCGGTGGCAGCTCTGTGGCTCCTT